ATATTCTTTATATGTATTACTTAAGAAAATTGCAAATAAGAAATTGCATAGGAAAGGGTCCCGCGAAACAGGTTTGATATAGACGAATTTGATGTTCACGATATGAGCGAAAAAATTATCCCTGCCACTACAGGGAAAACCCATCGAATCGTCCAGGGGCTCACTCACCTGGAAATGTAAGATAATCCGAGTTCAGGTATATCCCTGAAACAATATCAATACATGCGGAAAATTTTTTATATCAACCTGATATTTTTTATATCAAACTTTTGTCAATAGATTTTTGACACTTTCCTGATTAAAATGAGATTAAACACGATATAATTTTGACTGTATTTACTAGTTTAATTGATGATAGTAAGTTTCGAATGCTGATGAGTATAGGGAGTGAAAAGAAAGAGGCGCTGCGATTCAGGCAGTTGGCAGGTATAAAAATCCTGTTGTATTAATTATAATGTCAATGCATTGCTAAGTTTTATTATTGTTAGTCATTTTTTATATATTACCCAATATGTTTATGTTATATTTCTTATTAAAATGGAGTCAGACACTTGTAATAGATACTTTACTTGTAATAATTTATTAGATTCTCGATATACATATGTAAGTGAAACATGTTGCGAATTACGTCGTATATGTATATTCCTATATTCTATATTCTCTACACTCTCTTTTCTATATTTTCTATATTGAGCAACGTAGGAACTATGTGCATGATGTAAGCGAAAGTTCAGATGCAAAAGATTCGATTACATCGAAGCTCTACAGCATGTCCCAATTAATTACAAATTACACTTCGAATTTCACTCTTTACATGTTAATTTCTTTCTTGTTTCAAAATGTTGCACATAGTTTTGCAGAATAATTACTTTTAAAGTGCTCTATAATTACACAAAGTTTAAGTAAAATTAAAGGTCACTTATTTTTATAAATTAAAATATAGAACCACTCTGTTTTAATTCGTATTAAAATATAAGAAAAAGTGTAAAATATTTTTCGAAATGCAATTTCGATGGGGATTCGATAACGGTTTAACTGTATTTCTCGGTTCGTGAGAACAGTTCTGCAGCATTTGTTTTCCACTAAATGAACAGTAATAACAGTACCGATATATTAGAAAATTGTGTAAAGCCCTATTGGACAAAATGCCACAATGAAAATTTAATTTTCCCGTAGGATAATGCATCAATTCATAAGTTTGCGTATACATTAAGACGGTTTACTAAGAATAACTGTTATTAGATTGACCTGAACCTCCGCTGACGTTAATCGCGTTGAAAATTTATGGTGAATATTAGTACGAACGATTTCAAATAATCCTACGTATTCAAATGTAGGATTAAAACTTGCAATAACTGACATGTGGAACAATACGGGGGAAATTATAATAAAAAATTTAATTCGTAGTATGCCAAATCGAATTTTCGATATAATTCATGGTGATGGAAACATAAATGATGGATAAATTAATAAATTTTTTGTACATAAAATATAACGAAACAGTTTTCCTCAAACAGTTAGTATATTTATGAAACGCCTGAAAATTAGTTTTTATTTAAATCAGTTCATAATTTGTGCTAACACATAATGTTTTTATGTAATTTACTGTTAACACACGATAAACTAGTATTAAAAAAATATTGACCATAATTTTCAGCTGAAAATTCTGATTAATTAAAACAAAGGCGGTTGAGATTTTTCTGTAACGCACTCTAGCATTCCTTTGTAAAGTACATACATATAATATAGTTTATACGTACTTAAAAACAATATAAATTTTAATACGAAACATGTATGTAGAATGAGAACATACACAAGTGGACAAAAGTTTTTCGAACGACATCAATTTTTATATTTCATATCTTTCATTTGGAATCACAGAGAAATATTATGTAGGTTGAAACGGAATTTATTCATACACAAAATTTCATCCAAAACGTTTCATATAAAAAACATGTTTATTTTCATGAAATGAAAAAGTCAATATCGTTCGGAAATATTTTCTGCAAACGTACAAACGTACGTATCACAATTTATTATATTTAAATTTGATGAATTGCATATGAATAAAATATAAAGTAAATTCTATACATGAAGCATAAAATATGAAATACACATAAAGGAAATTTGTGTTGTGTATAAAGTACAAAGTATTATGCGAATATTGAGTATAAAGTATAAATGCTGAATATAAGATATAAAATATGAAGCATAAGATGTAAAGCAAACGTTGTGTATAAAATGTAAAATATAAATCAAATAAAGCATAAAGTATAAATAGTGCGTATTTAGCATCAAGTATAAATCACATAATGTCCATAAAATCTAAAGTACTAAGCAAATGCGCATCAAACATAAAGTATATTACAAAAGAAATGCAAAGCGGAAGATAAAATCGTCAATTCTATTTCAGCCATACAACAGGTTCCGCAAACGTAAGAATTTCAATTTAATAAAAAACCCCTTTCGTTACATAATATTGTAGCATATTCGAACAATTCAGTTGGCAGTAAAGGAGTTAAGGGTGCAACGCGTAAAAGCGATTCGTTGTCGAAAGAATCGCAGAAAGGTATCGATTTCGAAGGTTCTACGATTCGATCGAACGGCGGTCGTCAAAGCAGCAGCAGCAGCAGCAACAACAAAGGGCATTCACCCCCTTTCTGCACGGTGTATTCATGCGTGGACGAGCAACGCGTTTCCCCGCGGAGTTTTGGCCGTCCGAGTACCGTAAGAGGGCGTAGAAACGCAGCTATCGGCGTTTGGATTTGTTTGTATACGCGGGTTCGCGGCTCCGTGTCTTGTTGCGGCTGCGCTCCCCACCATCCGGCGCAAACCCGATCGGCCACCATCGAAATCCCTGCCCCCGACGTAATTCCGCGCTGTTTGCATTATTTGCTGTCAAACATTGGCCGCAAAACACCGTGGTGGGGGTAGAGGTTGTTGCCGGTGGAAAGCGAGCAGCCCGCGCGTTGATTGGTCCGATCTCCCTTTGCTGTTGCCGTCGGGAGCCAGGTAGGCGGGGCCAAAGGGACACTATATATACGGCGCGTGGCGGGGATGACGGCAAATGCGCGGTATCGCTCTGTTGAGGTAACATCTAGCACAGTTGACGAGCCGACTTCGAAGCGAACGACCGAAAGGACTATAAACTTCCTTCGAAGGAGATAACTATTTGTAACAAATTTTGGTGGTGTGTTTCTCCTGGACAATTTGTGAACTTTTATATGTGTTCATCGAGTAATCGATAGTTTTCCGTCGTTCGCGAAAATTAAAAGTGTGCGACGAGTTTTTGGAAACGACGCGTTGAAAGTATGGTGAATATGGAAGGTTCCGGGGAGCAGCACACGGTGACAGCATCGCCACCACCGCGGGCTGCGCTTAAGAGCAACTTCAGCATCCGCAGTATCCTGCCGGAAGCTTGTGCCGGGACTCCAGCACCATCGGTTAGTCGATCCACGTCCCCGGAGATCAGCCACGTCGAGGACAGCGAGGATTCGAGCGATCTCGATGTAACTGGAGACGGCGGAAACGAAACACCGCCACTCGACTGCTCGAGGAACGCGACGAATTCGGTGTCGTCGTCCGAGCCGAAGGACACCAAGGATCGACAAAGCGACGAGAAGAAGAAGTGCGAGAAGCCGCCATATAGTTACAACGCATTGATCATGATGGCCATTCGACAGAGCCCGGAAAAGAGGCTCACCCTGAATGGCATCTACGAGTACATCATGCGTCATTTTCCCTATTACGAGAACAACAAGCAAGGCTGGCAGAACTCTATCAGGCACAACCTCTCGTTGAACAAGTGTTTCGTCAAGGTACCCCGTCACTACGACGACCCTGGCAAAGGGAACTACTGGATGCTGGACCCGAGCTCCGAGGACGTGTTCATCGGCGGCACTACGGGCAAACTTCGCCGAAGGACTACCGCAGCTTCCAGATCCCGACTCGCGGCGTTCAAGAGGAGCGTCGTGCTCGGTGGATTATACCCATCTGCGTATGGACCACCCGGATGGCCGGCATCTTTGTACACGCTTCCGTATCTGCATCGTGCTGCCGGTTATCCACCAGCTAGCAGCGCTTATTCGACTCCCGCCGGTTACCCGGCCAGTTTACTGCCCGGTGCTGCGACCAGCTCCACCAGCAATTTGCCCTGCAAACCTCAGCCGCTGCCAGCAACCGCGGCACCACCTGCTCACGGGCCTTTTTCCATGGAGAGGTTGCTCCAGCCACCCACGGCCACTGGATACCCGAATGGCATCGCCACCTCTGGCATCCCGATTTCCGGCAACCCGTACGATTTTTACTCCACTCTGAGATCTTTGGCGGCGCATCAGCAGCATCAGACCACCGCCGCGATGTTCGGCCATAATCAACAACCGGCCAGGTATCATGTTAATCAACCGCCGGTGTTAGGCCAACCGACGTCAGCCACCGCATCCCCGGGAAGCAGTCCTGAACCGATGTCGCCTCATTCGCCCCCGGTCACCATCTGTAACTCCAGCAGCGTTCAACAGCCGAGATCTCTTCTCCATAGTCCGCCGCAGTTGTTGTTGAAACCTATCACAGTGCTAACCGGAAGACAAAGCTGAACAATCTCGTTGCTGTAGGTTCTGATAATTTTGCTCGGACTCGTGCTCGTGTGACTGATACGCTTTACGATTGATCTGGACCGGCTCTCTCGGAGAAGCTCACTCGCATCCTCCGACATGTCGGAGCTCTCCTCTCGCCCCAGTTTATGCGTACGCGGTGATATGTTGTATGTACGTTTTTGTTTTATTTTTTTATCTCCCAATTTGTAAATAGTAGCGTTTAAGGGACTCGAGAAATGTGAGAGTTCGATATTTTGAACGATCGATGTGAACCGATACCAAAATGAAATAAAAGTTTTAATGAACTACGAATTCATGGGGTTTTTTGTACCCTTGCTACCAAGTGTGATCTTTAAAATGTAGGTTAAAATATGTATTAGTGTAAATAAGTTTTGTTTAGATGATCTCTGGTCTTCGGTCGTAGATCGCGATGCCTCGAACTTGACAAAGAATTTTCAACGATTAGTATCGAGGATCACGTGATAATTGATGATATCGCGGTCTTCGAGATTCCTCGATTTTGTTAATTTGTGTATATAGTCAAAGATTGTTATTCGTAAATGCATAGATATCGTATATGTATACATGACGAGAATCGTGAGTGCACGCGGCCAACGCGTGTATGATCGTTCAAATAAATGTTCAAAACTTTTCTAGTAATCCTTTTTCCATGGAGAGGTTGCTCCAGCCACCCACGGCCACTGGATACCCGAATGGCATCGCCACCTCTGGCATCCCGATTTCCGGCAACCCGTACGATTTTTACTCCACTCTGAGATCTTTGGCGGCGCATCAGCAGCATCAGACCACCGCCGCGATGTTCGGCCATAATCAACAACCGGCCAGGTATCATGTTAATCAACCGCCGGTGTTAGGCCAACCGACGTCAGCCACCGCATCCCCGGGAAGCAGTCCTGAACCGATGTCGCCTCATTCGCCCCCGGTCACCATCTGTAACTCCAGCAGCGTTCAACAGCCGAGATCTCTTCTCCATAGTCCGCCGCAGTTGTTGTTGAAACCTATCACAGTGCTAACCGGAAGACAAAGCTGAACAATCTCGTTGCTGTAGGTTCTGATAATTTTGCTCGGACTCGTGCTCGTGTGACTGATACGCTTTACGATTGATCTGGACCGGCTCTCTCGGAGAAGCTCACTCGCATCCTCCGACATGTCGGAGCTCTCCTCTCGCCCCAGTTTATGCGTACGCGGTGATATGTTGTATGTACGTTTTTGTTTTATTTTTTTATCTCCCAATTTGTAAATAGTAGCGTTTAAGGGACTCGAGAAATGTGAGAGTTCGATATTTTGAACGATCGATGTGAACCGATACCAAAATGAAATAAAAGTTTTAATGAACTACGAATTCATGGGGTTTTTTGTACCCTTGCTACCAAGTGTGATCTTTAAAATGTAGGTTAAAATATGTATTAGTGTAAATAAGTTTTGTTTAGATGATCTCTGGTCTTCGGTCGTAGATCGCGATGCCTCGAACTTGACAAAGAATTTTCAACGATTAGTATCGAGGATCACGTGATAATTGATGATATCGCGGTCTTCGAGATTCCTCGATTTTGTTAATTTGTGTATATAGTCAAAGATTGTTATTCGTAAATGCATAGATATCGTATATGTATACATGACGAGAATCGTGAGTGCACGCGGCCAACGCGTGTATGATCGTTCAAATAAATGTTCAAAACTTTTCTAGTAATACTGTGTAGTCGCTTTCGTCAATTATCCTTGAACCTTACTTCGTTCTCTCTTATTTTAATTTTTCTGTAAATTCGTACCATTTTCAATTTTCATTCTTCATTCCTTTAATTTTTCGGTACTCATTCTTCATTTTAAATTTTTCGGTATTCATACTTCATTTTCCATTTTTCGTTATTCATTTGTTATTTTTCATTGTTCATTCTTCAGTTTTAATTATTCATTTCGTATTTTTCATTCTTCATTTCTAAGTTTTCATTCTTCACTTTACATTATTTTTTATTTTTATTCTTCATTTTCCATTTTCACTTCCATTTCTCATTTTCATTTGCATTTTCATTTTCCATTTCATATTTCTCGTTTTTATTTTCATTTCCATTTTTATTTATAAGTTTTAGATTTTCGTTTTCCAATTTTATTTGCACTTTTATTTTTCATTCTTCATTCTTTACTTTCATTTCTATTTTGATTTTTATTTTTATTTTCACTTAATATCTTCGTGTTTTATTTTCCATTTCTCGTTTTCGTTAACGTTCTTATTTTCATCTTTAAATTTTCATTCTTCGTTTCTTATTTTTAAATTTCATTTGCATTTTCATCTTTAAATATTCGTTCTTCATTTCTCATTTTTATCTTTCATTTTCATGTTTCATTTCTTATTATTAATTATCATTTTCATGTTACATTTTTCATCTTCGTGTTTCAGTTCTTATTTTTAATTTCTTATTTCGCATTTAACTGTACCAGTAATATTTGCTGATTGCCTATGTAATAATTCAACAGTTTTCGTCTTCCTCTTCCATATTTTATATCACCGTATATTTCAGCGCACATTAATAACGCAAATATTTTGCTTCGAAAACTACAGATGGCCCAATTAAAAAGTGAACAGTTCACAACATTCGTGTCGAAACGTGAAGTTATCTATTTTCCCAAGTTCAAAAATTTTAATTGACAGACCAATTCTAGATTACTAATTTATTAATATCACTATCACGTTTGCAATCTTAAAAATTTTCTGTAATAACTAACCTACATTGCAATTAATATAGATCGAAAAAGTAGCATCTTCATATTCATCTAATTACGTTGATTTAGTCCTAACTCTTCATTCCACATAAATTAGAGTCTAGACGCTACATATTTACTACGATATCGTTGAAACACTTGCACGAAATAGTTAACATGGTAATATTATAATTAATACTATTGTCACGTTTCCGACCTTAAAAATTTTCTGTAGTAACATTGTGATCAATATAGATCGAAAAAGTAGCATCTTCACATTCATCTAATTACGTTGATTTAGTCCTAACTCTTCATTCCACATATATTAGGGTCTAGACGCTACATATTTACTACGATATCGTTGAAACACTTGCACGAAATAGTTAACATGGTAATATTATAACTAATACTATTGTCACGTTTCCGACTTTAACAATTTTCTGTAGTAACATTGCGATAAATATAGATCGGAAAAGTAGCATCTTCGCATCCATCTAATTACGTTGATTTAGTCCTAACTCTTCATTCCACATAAATTGGGGTCTAGACGCTACATATTTACTACGATATCGTTGAAACACTTGCATGAAATAGTAAACATGGTGGAACGCGGGCCAAAATCTCATCCACACAAATCGTAAAAGTAACAGGCAGAACCCGCCGGCTGTCAAAACACAGCACGGAATAAAAGTTTTGCTCGGCAAAGTCAACGGATAATAGCAGAGAACCGAGCGAGGACGCAGCATCGAAATAGGAAATTGCTTTACTGCTTCAATATAACCATAAACCATACTCCAACGGCCTTCACGAGTATCCTCGTCCTTTGGTTTTACCAACCATCCAGCTTCGAGTCCGTCCGTCCGTTAAATGCAGCCGGTCCTTTCATCCTTCTCGTTGATCTCGCGTTTCTAGATCTCCTTTCCTGTTTCGTGTTTTCGTTCTTTTTTCTCCTACAAAAAGAATCTTGTCCATGACTCTCTCTCCTGAGATTTTATTAATTCATTTTATTCAATACGAAGCTGAAGATACTGCAGTTTAAATGTCATAATATACTGTAAAATTGATACGGGTGTTGAAAAGGTTTGGAACTTTATTTTTCTTCTTTACTGCTAGTCTGTTATGTTAGGACCTTTTTATGGAACTTCTTCTACAGATTTTAAATTTGGTAGATACTTAGAAAGAATTATTGCATTTTTTAATTTATATTTCTAATAAATATTGGTACAAATTTTTTTTACTTGAAGAAATTTTATTTCTTTATTTTACAGTATATCTTTTCACTGTTTCTTTTATTACTCAAAAAATTTGTAAAAGGTTTTAAAACACTTTTCAGAATTTCTGTTTATAGACTTATTCTTTTAAAGCTATTTGTGGTCAAATTAAAAATTGCTAATAAAATTAAAAATCCACAGTCAGCCTTCTTTCGATACTTTTGGCAATTTTTCTGAGGTTTCTGTTACGTTTTAACAAACTTTGATTCGCTGCAGAAGATCGTATTTGGTACGGTTTGACTTGTACATTTGTATATGTTAGTGAGTTGTCAGGATGGGGTTTTATCAATCTATTTACCGGTACATGATGAACACTTGCTTCAAAATTAAAAATGAAGTTGAAAAATAAATAAACAGACGATAAAGCGTAATTTAATACCTATACATATTCATTCTTTATCTCCAAATCAACATAGACTTCAAACACTAAACTTTGTTGAAACGAATTTGAAAATGAAATGAAAAAATTATACAGCGGTCGGACCGTGTTGATTTATTTGAAATCGATATATTAACTCTTGACATAAAAATGAATTAAATTGAGACATTGAATATTTATTTAAATAGAGTAATAGTAAAAACAAGAAGTACATTGCATATTAAAATGTCGGACTTTTCCAGTGAGCGTCTGATCGTGATTTCACTTCCTTTTTTCACATAGAAAGTCTTCCTTCTCATTCAATCTATTAATAAAATATCTTTCAAGTTAAATCAAAGTTTCACTCAATTCTAACTCCATTTGCAATAGAGCCTTGGTAGTTTTATTGTTATAGTATTTTGAATTACTGCAGTCGAATAACAATTGTGAGTAGTATAGTTTCGAAACTCTAGGCGGGTTACTTTCACGTGGACACGATTCAGGAACGTGTTGTTGCTCGGTACGAGCGACCGGTCGATATTGGTATGATACATTGAGACAATGAGGCGTAAATAAGATAATAGCATACGCTCGTGTACGTTGAACGGGGAGTTGAAGCGTTTGAAGGGCCGAGTAGCAAATGCGAAAGAGAAAGAGAGAGCGAACCGATTAAGATCTGTAGATGAGATTGTGAGCCGCGCGGCCTCTCCACTGACAGACGTGTTTCGCATTCTTCTATCTTTAAACGTCCTCTTTGACGTTGCGTTCCGATCGTTCAAAATTACCGATGCACCTTTCCCTTCATGAAATACCCGTGTATTCTTTTTATTCGTTACGGTCATAAAATACCTCTCGAAAGTATTTGATCATTGATATCGTTCGTTGAAGCTGGTTATAACTTTACAGTTGTTCAAATTATTATTAACGCAATTTTGCATTTTGCTGTAGGGGCAATTTTCCCTAGAAGAACTACAAAATCCTGTATATTATTGTAATATATTATTTTCTATAAAACTATAGGTTATATTATTTCACATATGTCTGTGATGTTACATGTATGGATGTGTCATATGTCATATGTGATATGTGTCATATGTGCTCATATTTTATGTGAATAGTGGACAGGTCTATATTTCGCTAATTTTTAGTGAGTTTAGACGATTTAATTAGTTTAGACAATATATTATTTTCTATAATACTATAGGTTATATTATTTCACATATGACTGTGATGTTACATGTATGGATGTGTCATATGTCATATGTGATATGTGTCATATGTGCTCATATTTTATGTGAATAGTGGACAGGTCTATATTTCGCTAATTTTTAGTGAGTTTAGACGATTTAATTAGTTTAGACAATATATTATTTTCTATAAAACTATAGGTTATATTATTTCACATATGACTGCCATGTTACCTATATGTATGGATGTGACATATGTCATATGTGATATGTGTCATATGTGTTCACATATTATGTGAATAGTGGACAGGTTTATATTTCGTAGATTTTTAGTGAGTTTACACGATTCCAACAGTTTTGGAGAGGTTTGCAATTTTGGGGATGTAGGAATTTGAGGGTATTGGGATTTGTGGAATTTGTGACTTGTGTATGTGCGAATGTGAGAATACAGCTTTAAGAATTTGAGGACACAGGAATTTGTGGATCCTTGGATTTGAGGAATTTGAGATTTGGAGGAATATAGGAATGTGAAGGTGTAAGAATTAGGGGAAGTGAGAATTTGTAGATCGTGAATTTGGGGAATTTCGAATTTCAGACTTTATAGATTTGACGACATGAGAATTTGTGGATTCTAGGATTTGAACTCGGGATTTTGGAATATAGAAATTTGGCGGTCTAAGAATTTGAAGATACCAGAATTTGTGAATTTTATGATTTGGGGAATTTGGGATTTGGAAATTTACGAATATGGGAAAATAGTAATTTGATAGAGTAAGAACTTGACAAGAATTTGTGCATCCTTGGATTTTTAAATACATACAAGAATTTGGGGATATAGGAATTTGTGGATCCCAGGATTTAGCAAATTTGAGATTTGGAATTCTATGAATATAGAAATATAGGAATCTGACAATCTAAGAATATGGAAACACAAAGCTAGAAAAAGGGAAAATTTAAAAGTTCAATAATCCCAAAATTTTAGAACTTGCAGATTTGAAATATGAATTAATATAAAAAGTTGTAACAATGCCGGTGACATCAGCTGCTGTGTTAAATTGTTAGTAAACAATGTGTAAAACAAAGCTTACTATATCCTAATTTCAAGGGTGAT